CTGCGAGCTCCACCGCCACGACCGGAGGCTCCTCGACGCGCCGCCGCAAAATTGGCGGCCGATCCTCCGCGATTACGCCTCCGATTGGATCCTCCGGCCGTCGGGCCTCGCCGGCGGGTGCTCCGACGGCGAAACCCTAATTAGGTTCGTGGAATCGGCTCGGAGGTGCTGGAGTTTGGTCGGCGTGGGGGGTAAAGGAGGGGGAGGGGCGGCGGCGGCGTCTCCGGCGGCGGTGGTGGCCCTGCCGTCTGTGGCGGCGGACGGCGGCGGCGAGTGCGCGATCTGCAGGGAGGAGATGGGGGCTGGGAGAGAGGTGTGCGAGCTGCCGTGCGGGCATTTGTTCCACTGGATTTGCGTGCTGAGGTGGCTGGGGAGGAGGGACACGTGTCCCTGCTGCCGGCGGCGGCTGCCGAGCGACGACGTCCGCCGTGAGATCGAGCGGCTGATGGATGATATCGCCGGGGTTGGCGGCGGCGGGGGTGGAGGAGGATTGTGATTTGCAGAGTTAAATTTTTAGCTGTTTTTTGTGGAAATTAAAAAATTATTTTCGAGTTCTTAATTTAATTTTATTTTTTAGTAAGAGAAAAAAGACTAGTGAATAGTGATGACCGTAAAAATAGTGTATTTATTTGTTTTTTCCCTTTTTCTTGTTCTCCTTCTCCCTTTGGAGATATGTTATTGCTCGTAATTTCCCAATAGTCAAATGAATTGTATCAATTGTAATGGAGCTTCTTTTTTTATTAAATTTAACTAGTACGCCGTGTATTACACGAATGCTTGAAAAAATATTATTCTTAAATTTTAAAATTAATAAAAAAAATTATTTTAAATTTTATTTACTTTTTTACAAAAACCATATATTATTATATATTTTAGAATGACACTTGTTATTTGTGCGACTTGCATATGTTTCAGTATAATAATTTTTATAACTTATATCATATAACTACTTGAAATATAAAAATATTAATTGATAAATAATTTCTAATTAATTTTAAAAAATAATTTTATTATTGTTATAAAGATAAGTATAATTTATTTTTTGTATACATACAATATAAATGTGAAATCAAAACCCACCAAAAGATGATTAATTTGATATATTATATATGCAAAACTGATAGAAAAATACAAAAGTTATTACTTTTAAAATACATTTACAATTCAATGATTATAATAAGAAATGATATTAAAATACATTTAATATATATAACATGACCATAAATAATCTATATATTTATGGATAATTCGGACCTAATTATGTTTGGATTAGAAGTAAATTAAAATCTATCCAATCCCTAATGATACAACATTAATTTTGTCACATAGAATCCTGAAGCATGCGAGTCTGCCACTTAGCCTCAACAAGAATTAATATGTAGGGGGATTAGTAAATTAAGAGTGGTTAAAACTTAAAAGAATAGTATATTAAGAGTATGAAATTTTATATTGTGAATTATAGTGGAGAGACTTAAGAAATTGTGTGAGAGTAATAAGATGAATGTTTTTACGAACCTTTTTATCTTGCACCTACATAAATACATGCACATAATTTGTAAGTTTTTATCATAGCATACATAATTGATATGTGACTGAAAAATTATCTTAGAGCATCTGCAACGCATTGGGTCTAGTCTTGTCTATGTGACATGTAAATAAACTCAAGTCTTGGATGACATGGAGAAGATTATGTAAAATTAACAACATCAACTCTAATGCAAAGAGACTAGGTCTCTACTTGGGTCTAAAATAAACTTAAGGAGAGATCGGGTCTCTTTTTCTGGCTGCCACATCAGGACCCAGTCTACTTTTATTTGCATTGGAGAATATATTTTTGTAGACTGAGTCTATTTTTTATATGGCATATAATTTTTTGGGATTAAACCCAAAACATTGTGGATGCTCTTAATGTACACATGTAATTGTAGAATCACGAGATATGTACATGTAACTAGTGCATATATCTTAATGTGTCCATAATTGATACGTGATCAATTACGAATAATAAGTAGATCGAACATGAATTTTTTACAAACTAAAATTCATTTATGTCTACTTAAAAACATTCGTTGTTAAAATTTAAACTTTAATGTTGATGTTAAGACACAATTACTTTTTCAATTATATTATAAAACATCATATTTTAAAAATACTATAAAAAAGTATCATACAGTCCTTTCGAAAAATATGATGTATCATAAATGAAAGGAATATGCAAGAGAGGATTAATGAACATCACTCGTTCTTGATAGCAAACTATGTTTGACTTGTTTGTCTGCACACATATGTGTGTGGTTTAGGATAATGCTGCATTGGCCAAAATTCTTTCATGTTTGTGATGCTCACAAGTGACAATATGTGCAAATAAATAAACATCAATATAAATGTTTTCACCATTTTTTATTATATGTGTATGTATAATTATTTAAATATACTAAGTGTTAGGCACGTCTAACGGTGATTGTCATATTAATTCAATAGAAATGTTGTTCACTCATATTCTATAAAACGAGGTAAATAAAAATATGATATTTCATAAGTATACGGGAACTGATGGACCTCTTTGGAAAACCAGAAAAGCATGCTACATTCACAAATGATGTGTTGTGCTGTTTTTATCTATTGGGCCTATTCAAGAATGTATTTAATTAGGCCTGCAATTAGGTAGTTCACACCAGATTGGGCCTGCAAAGGGCAAGCGATTATGAACTGGGTTTACCCTATTGGATAGTAAAATAACTAATCGAGTCTTATGAGTTTCCATGTTGGGCTGGGCCAAAGGGTGATAAAAACATTGTTGGTTGAAAAATATAAGGAAAAGGATGACATTTAGAATATAGTATATTGAAATTGGAAGGAACTAATGTGGAAACATGGATATGCTTTTTGATTAAATAATGACAAAACACTCTTTGTTTTAATAGTATTTGATTTTTGAAACTAGGATGTGCCAACACGTAAAGGCACACCTAGCAAGGTGTGCCACAAATGAACATGTTATGTTATAAAATGAACATGTGTGAATCATGTTTGCACATGTTCATTTTGTAACATAACATGTTCATTTTAAATTGCCCTGGCACACCTTGCTAGGTGCGTCAGGGCACACGGTAGTAGCACTGTGTGCCAACAAACTCATGTTTACGAAAATGTCAAAAAGTCAATTTAGCCTCCAAATATAAGGTGCGATGAAAGAATAAATAAGGATGCTTTTAGAAAAGTGATAAATTTAAAAGTGTTAATGTATATGTTAGAATATTAATTGTGAGTTGTCCCACATCGTTCATACATGAAAAATAAGCTCACTTATAAGTCTAATGGGTTATTCCTCCTTCCACTAATTGGTTTTAGGATGGAACCCATTTGAGCTTCATATGGGTTTTTTCCGTTCATGGTGCGCTTCATGTTAGTGGGTCCGCACCTGTTTTCTCCCAGTTTTTTACATGGTATCAAAGTCGGTTCTATGTGGGACCGTGCGATGACATACTCGTTTTTCCCCACGTACCCGTTTATTGGAGTCTGTTTCTAGTAGGGCTTAAGGCACCCAGTTCTGTATATGAGTTTGGGGTTCTTATCACTCGTTTTTCCCCACGTACCCGTTTATTGGAGTCTGTTTCTAGTAGGGCTTAAGGCACCCAGTTCTGTATATGAGTTTGGGCTTCTTATAAAGAATTCACAAGTGAGGGGCGTGTTAGAATATCACTTGTGATTTTAGTAAGGCTTAGGGCACCCAGCTCTATATATGAGTTTGGGCTTCTTATTAAGAATTCACAAGTGAGGAGGCGTGTTAGAATATCACTTGTGAGTTGTCCCACATCGTTCATACATGGAAAATAGACCCACCTTATAAGTATAATGGACTACTCTTTTAATGGGTTACTCCTCCTTCCACCAATTGGTTTTGGGATGTAACCCCATTTGAACTTTATATGAGCTTTTCCCGTTTATGGTGCACTTCATGTTAGTGGGCCCACATCCGTTTTTCTCCAGTTTATTCCAATATATAGGAAAAAAATGTGTTGATTAAAATTCATATGATAAATAATAAACTAATGAGTGGCAGACATATATAAGTGGATAGATAATATTTTTTGTTTAGAAATATATAATGATAATTGCTTTTTTATTTAATAGCTGTGTGAGTGGTATTGTATAGGAAAAAATGAGACGAATCGAATATTTTTTTGAAAAAATCAATGAGTCATTTGTTGTTTGAATGAAATAAGTATTAGTTGAACAAACAAAGATGAAAAAAAAATATAATTATAACCAATAACAAACATATTAGCTACACTAATTCTGTTCTGAGACAGTTTACATTTAACTGATTTGACGGGATTATTTTGTACACAATAAATGCATATTTATACTTTGATATTTCATAATTTCATTTCTTTTCATTTCGAAGTGTACTATTTTGATATAAAATGTGAATATTTATTTAAGAAAATATATTTAACGGTTAGGTCCACCGCCACTGCCATATCAATTATCAAAGAAGATTCCACATTATATATTCATATTTCATCATCATAATACCAAGTCGTTTCAAACCAAAATCAAATAGATGACTTAGAGTGCAATATAATCTAGCCACTTTTTATTTTCCACTATTATTCATGTCAAATTTTCGGTTAGAGAAAATATTAATTATTCTCTCTTTCGGAAAAGAAAAGGGATTTAATCAATATTTTAAAAGTCTTTGTTCGGAATATAGTCTTGACCTTTGCTTTGGAGTGAAAAATAGTGGCCCGAGAATAATTACCCAAAAATCATAACAAATTGTCCAAGCCCATTTACTTTCAAGCCTACACGTGACATACAATTAGGGCCCACATGTCAATAGTGATCATCGTCACCATTTTCTCAAGTTATATATTTCAAAAGATACAAATGTCCACATTATTGTTCATGTAGACAACTTTTTTTTTTTACATTATTGTTCATGTAGACAACTTTTATTTTTTTTTTTTTTCAAAAATTTCTTTTAGCCAATAAATTTTATATAGCGTAACTTATTTCACATGATATTTTATTATGTTACATGTCTTGTTTGGTCAATGGCTTGCCTATTTGCTTTGACTAATAGGATAGCGAATTATTTCAACTCTAATTAGCACCTTTAATTAGCACCTTTAACACGACATAGATAACAACTTTAATTAGCACCACTTTGTCTGCTGTGGATAGATATTTATTCTTCCAGCTCCCCAGTCTTTTTCTAACCGAGTCAATTACAAAGGAAAATGCTTCTCTCTTGGATTTTCCAAAGCCAAATGGGAGTCTCAGATATCTTGAAGAATTGTGTGCAGTTAATCCATCCAACACCTCACAGATTCTGGTTATAACAGGAGTAGAAGTATTTTTGCTGAAAAACACTGTGGACTTTGCCAAATTAATTTTCTGCCCTGAGAATTTCTCATACAACTGAAGTATATCTGTGAGGAGTTTAGCCTGCCATTTATCTGCTTTACAGAACACTAATAGGTCATCTGC